CATCAAGTATTCGAAAACGCCCATCCCTTCCTACGGCCGTTGATTTATATAAAAAACACCGCTAAATTAGCTGATATTTTGGAAACATAAGCATTGTGAAATGATAAACATAAACATGACACTAATGTTGCAATATTATTCGTTATAGCAACCACGGTCTCTCGTCCAATTAGCCTACTTATGCTGAAGTCAATGACTAATCGCAGTACCGGTAGCCAATGCGACTTGAGTTGGGATGAGATTGAATTTGTATATTTATCCCGGGGAGAGGAAAGTCGATAGGGCGGTTTAATCACAAGGCCTCTCGTCACTTATGCTCAAGTATTTGCACTAGGTTTCAATGACTAACCACAGTACCGGTAGTCTGCGTGATTTATATTTAAATACGTTATTCTGATCACTCAAAAGCCTCGAATCAAAGTTTGCAAATCTAGTCCCATCAACGAAGCAATTTTGATAGGCAAGTGATACCGCAGCCGGGCAGGTAGGGTCGGCTCGTCGAAAACGTGGCGACCTGTAAATGTAAATATTCAACTCAGCTTCTTTGATCTAAGATTTGTTATATCACCTATATAAGATATAAAAGTTCATGCATTTTGTTCGTAAATGTAACCTTTGTTGCGTAGGTCTTGAATAAACGAATGTGATCGCAACAACGAGATTGCAATGTCATCGGTTCTAAGAAAATTCGCCGCAGGAAGTCTCGCCGCAGGAAATTTCGCTGCATAGGAAAAATTGCCGCAAGAGCATTTTGTTGTAAAACAAGTGTATATTTGTGATAAAAACAGTTAGGTTTTTGAAGTAACTTTTTTTTAAAAGATTCGTTATTTAAGAGCATACCCTAACTCTATAAACCTCAATGTTCTGATCACAAATACTTGTTTTACATCAAAATGCTCTTGCGGTGATTATTCATGCGGCAAATTTTTCCATGCGGTGAAATTTCCTGCGGCCCCCCTCCCCCCGATTGATTAAGATACAAATTTACGCGCCCTACCTCCCCTAACTCCAAGATGCTCACGACAACGCCAAAATGGTCAATGGTCAAGCTAAAGTTACCGTAGCCAGTTCAGTTACATAGGCAGAACAATAAGAGTGGTCACTGTTTAAAATCATGGCCGGTACATTCATTGATTGACTCTACTCAAGACTTGGGGTTTAGAGATTTTTACCCTACTAGGTTACATAGGCTTGGGTCATTCGAGTTGGATCCAGTCACCATTCATCAAAGATTCGAACTATCCGCCATGTGAGACTTAACTCAGTGTTTACTCGAACCAAATTTTCTGATGCAGAGGCGTAGACAGGAATAGATCTGCATACAAAACTTCAGAACTAATAGGGTCCGGTCTTTCCAGAAAATAAAAGATTGTTTAATATTGGGTTACAAACCTTTTCATATACAGTCAGGTGCATATATGAGTATCCAGTTGCGTAGCCATGCCCTGAAGGACCGAGCGCACAGTTTGATAAACCCTATCTTTGTGAATCTCTTAGAATGCCAGTGGGATTACAATTCTTTCCTTCAGTCAAACGAGAGTACATGACCTTGCTTCGTGTTATATAATTTATAAAATGTAACTTCGAATGTGAGATAAAACTCAAAATGACGTGGAAAATCACATTTTAAATACTGGTGAGGTAGAACTGTGAGGATAATTAACGTGCAACCCTAATCGATAACACCGCAAAGTATTTAGCTAAAGTTTTTTAATCAGGTGAATCAAAGTTCAAAATTCAATAAATAGAAAGAGACTCATTCTACGTAAGATATTTAGAGATTTTTTATGTTATGTAATCTGATATAAATCAGAGAGAAAAAAACAGAATTTTATTTAAATATGTCTGCTCAAACAGTTTGGGACAGTTCCCGAAAACGTAATAGAACAAAAATAAGAAAAATCGGAATAAAATTATGACCTAACCCTAACCTGGTACAAATACTACAGGAGTACAGCATATTTTTGGCATATTTGAGCACAATACCTATTTGATACCTATATGATACTTTTGTGTAATTTAAACTTGATGAAATTTAATAACGAGGTTACTATTTCAGCTGTTTGCACGCGAATTCCTATGTATAATATTTCAGAATGGTGTATCGCGATCATATTGTTTGCTTCGCCATTGCTTACCTGATTTAGTACTGAATTTTACAGATAATGAAGCGCACTTAAAATCTTATTTTCCTATCAAAAATCGATCGAGCGTCTTTTAAGCCGATGCGCCTAATGTATGGTGCTTTATGCTATATTGCTCGCACTCGAAACTAGCACCATTACCGCTTGCGTGTTATAGTCAGGTGCGGCTAATGTACGGTTCAGACAATGATTCATGCTATATTGCTCACACTCAAAACCAGTACCGTTACTATTGTTTTATACATGAAAATCCGTTGCGTTCTATAGTCCGGTACGCCTTGTGTATGAACAAAAACCCAATCTAATCACATTATTGATTACCCGGTCTGCCTTTTGATCTGTGAAATACGGTACACGAATGAGATGGTGACAATGAGAAATCCGGTACATTTAATCTGCAACGCCTTCATTGTTTTGTCAAACGATCTTATCAGTAGACCAGGGGGAGCCTATGTTTAAGTAAAGGTGCGGCGCGCGGTTTCATCCAGTTATTTGTATCTGGCCCTCACGTAATAAAGGTTTCACACCTCTGCCTTAAAGTGCAATTATCAAGCGTACGTTTTTAAAATTGAAAGCGTGAAGCGTGGTCAGCATTAAAATAACCACAGCAAAAAAAATTTGAAACCTGTTCTCAAGCGGAACATTCGTTTTAATCAATTTACATGGTTGGTCTTCCGTCATGTTTCCATTCTTCGCGCTTGGTCGAAATCTTGTAAACTCAATTTCTATTATTCCTGGAATCGAGGCAGGATTCATTATGTTAGAATTGTTTTTCGGTAATGATTAGAAAATTCTAAAATGAGAATTGCTTCAATTGCTTAGTTGCGAAAAATATTTCGGTCTTTCCCTAAAAAAATATTAACTTCTTACAATAGTTTCTCACGGAGAGACTTGTTTGTAATGAAAGTAGGAACAATTTTCATCTGTTGTAAACTCATTAGTTAAAGCATTGCTTCTAATCCGACGCAATAAACGCTCATGAAAGAAGAAAATTTTTATGACGAAAGTGATGGCGTCATAATCATTTCTCGGGTGACGCAATTGGACCGTTCTTTAGGTCGTTTCTGTTCTAGTAATAAATTTATTTAAACCAAACCCACTTTCAAACCGTCTACGGAATTTTATACTCACTTTGAATGTAAAATTCCAGGCTTTTCTCCCATTTTTACCACTAACAACTCAGTATAATTACAAGCTAATCCGCTCCTGTCCTGTTTTAATGTTATTACATGATTATCGTTTCTTGGAACCTTCAACAATATTAGTCTTCAGTAACTGAATTAGTAAACATCATCGCAACGTTATCACCGTAGTAATGAGTCACCGTGTTATTCATAGAATTAGTGTTGTGTTTTAAACTAAATACCAACAATACTAAGATTTAGTAGAAAGTTGGGCGCGATTTCTTAGTTACCAAGAAAGCTGAAAATCACCTTATTTCCGGAATAACAGATTCTTGAGTGGTTTAGTTATGTTGCATCACTTTTACACAAATTTTATTCTGTAATATTTTGTTCATTCTCATCATATTGTCAGTGTATTATTTATAACATGGCTTGCCAAACTTTTAAACTCGCGATCCATTCCAATATATTGAAAAATTTTGCGACCCATGTTAAAGCTGACATTGTTGTGCTGGCACGCCGCTTATTTGATCCTATGTATTCTCTTGAAATCGTGAAATTTATATTCTATACTAGTTCAATAATTGAGTTTCGAATTAAATGTTTAGAAAGTGCAAGAGATATGATACTTTGCGTAAAATTGGTGTATTCTTTTCGGTCCCTAAAATTAATTTCGCGGCCTCTGTGGGGACGCGACTCCCAGTTCGGGAAGACCAGATTTAGAACACATCGCCGAGTAGACCAGCACTCCGCAACGATCTTTTTCTTACATATATATGTGTTGATTTTTGTATATTTGAGTGCTTGCGCAGCGGGTTAGCCGTGTCTAGCGTCGAATGAATTTAGCTTTATTTTCAAATTATATAGATCACGCGCCACTTGCCGGGCAACTATCAATAATTCTGCTGTCTTCAACTTCTTTTTCTTCCTGTGTGGGGAGGCCAGGGTTATTCCCTTTTAAAATTGAATTACACAAAAATTCGAGGTAACATTTGGTCGATGAACGAACTCGCGGTAGCGCTCATTGCTAACCATATTTTTCATTTCGTTTTGTATATTATTGTGTTATGATAGATAAAGATGGCGGTTACAATGCAATCATTATCTTAAAACAACTACGATATACACTTGTCAGGCTGCTTGTATAACCTTTTTGAGTTCGGAGTTGTTTCAACATTACCTATACATTGTGTCAATTATATTTTATAAAACAAATATTTTATGACGATAGTAATACATATGCACAGTGGCGCATCTTCTTTAAATGGCGCCCATGGCAAAGTTTGAAAAAGTCGCATTCTTGAACGTTTACTGAAAAATTTTAACATCTATGGTTGAATTGAACAACTTATACGTTAGTATTTAAGAATAAATACGAGTTCAAATTATATCCAACTTGAAATTATTTTATTGAAACATTTTCGATTAAAACTTTTTACCCATTTGCGCCTAATCCAAACGGCCCCCACTAAACGAGCCATGGCTGCCATACCCTAGATACGCCACTACAATACAATTGACAAGGGTAAAGAAGCGACATATGACGGTACACCTCGCACTGCAGTAGCAGCCATAGTATATAGGTATTGATTGAGCGGTACTCCCGTAGTGTGTGTACCAATTTAGTGTTGGGCCATTATTAGTACACACACTTCTGAAGCACCGTTATATAGATATATATATAACCTATTATCTATATTTTAAGTCGTAACAATATTTACCTTTATTTCAGCCTCTCTCTCACTGGCTAATAGGAATGGGCGGAATTACATTTCTGGCATGCACACTTGCGTTGATTGCTACATTTGCACATAAACGACTTTATCATATCTTCGTAAGTTTATCTTATTTTTATTGAATCCTTGATATTTTTTATGGTCACGCGAATTCACTCAAAAATAAAGAAGAATGAGTGCTTAGCGACGTAACAACGTTAATATACTGATAAACTACTGTTTTTTCTCAAATTTCGTCATGTATCTATAATTTAAATAAATAAACAAAGTCAAAAAATTTCCGATTTATTCAGAAGGTCGACATATCAATCAATCACAGAAAAATTTGATTCAACTAGCTGATCAAAAACGTAATAGTCAGACCTTGGTTAGAAGAAACTCTACAAAATATATATATGTCTGTGTCCAGCTCAGAATTTTAACATCTTGACACAAATTCATTTCGCTTTATAGTATTCTCTTGTATATTTAATTTATATGACATTTCTCTTTTTCCAGGTCACTGTGTTTCTAATCATTAACACTGGCTTAGCTCTAGCATTGCTTATCTGGGGATTAATTCCAACTGATGCACGAAAAGAATATATTGGCGAAGTTTGGAAAGAAGCTGATATGAGAACGAAAAACTTGATACAAAATCACGTAAGACTGTACTAGATTCGATTCGATACTTTTTATTATTCGGGAGAAAAAAAAATCTTTTGGGCAACAATATTGCGATTTATGGATATTTCTTTGATGTGTCTTTTCGCCTCTAGCAAGGCTTTTCAAGTAAGCCTTGAAAATCGTAACTTTGAGCATTAAGTTGGAAAAGTCTTCTATTTAGAGGTTAGCGTATCAATTTATTTGATTGGCTACAGATTAGTACCTAACGATATATAAAGAGCTAATATTTTTGACCAGAATCTTTTCCGTTCGTTTAACATTTCCTTTTTTCCCTGCCGTATTACTGATACCCAAGGTGGTGGGCATAAGATTTGAGAGTTGTGTAACCTGCACAGTTGTCTAAGCAGAGTTTCCCAAACTATTTGGGCAGCGGACCTCTGTTTGTGAGTCTTATTTTTGATGGACCCCCATCCTATGCCGTATCTATTTCTGCACCTAATCCACGATGAATGATAATGCGAATAAAACTCATGAAAGTCTGAATTAATACATACTAACGTTGAATACTGGCAGGCTAACGGTAATTCGACAAGATTATCATCTATTTATATATGTTTCAGACCATTTCCATATAGTTGCGGACCCCTGTGAACTCATCAGTGATGAGTTCACAGGGGGTCCGCAACTGTATAGAAATAGTCTGAAACATATACAGTATAAATAGATCAGACCCCAGCTTGAGAAACCCTGGTCTAAAGCTTCAACCGTGCGATCACATTGTTAGGTCAAAAATAAAATTTTAACACGTATAATTCTCTTGATTCTAGTACTCTTGCTGTGGTTTCGATTCTCCTGACGAATATCGATCAAAAGATTCATCTTGTTACGCAAACGAGACTCTTCGCATTTATTGGCCAGACGGTTGCTATGACAAAATGACATCACAATCATTACCAACGCCTACCGTCAACACCACGGACGGAGACACTTTAACATTTGAAGACAAGTCAACGTTACACGTTTTCCTATTTGCATTCGTTCTGCCGTTTGTCGTTCTGGTGTTCATCGACTTCATTATGTTTGTAATATTTATGGCCGGCATTCTCAAACGACAGGAAAGGGACAATGACTCGAAAGAGAATTCAATCAAGGACGCGCAAGTTTACCAAAACGAGATGGCGCTAGAGTCCGAGCAAGAAAATCAACAAAACGGAGTAGACAAATCACCTGATACCGCCATCATCACGATGTCAAAAGTAGTGGATAATGCGTCATCAATTGGTGACGTCACGAAAGATAGAGAGGTAACAAAAAAGAAGTGGTATGCAAAGATTCCTGACGCGATTTCTTCGACACTGGAAAACGGATTTTACTGGTTAGGAGTGCAAGTAGGGAGCAACCCCAAGATGGTGATACTACTCTCGTTGATTCTTACAGGTGAATATTTTTTTAAAAGAATTTACTCAAAGCAAGGCCACGCGCAGTCACTCAAAAGTGAAGAAAACTCAAATCTGAGCAAAAATATGGGCGACCCCTGAAATGCCAAGATCTACTGAAACTATATGGATATATATATATATATTGTCGGATTACAAGCTACAAAATGCTGATTGAGACAAGACTCAAAACAGTTCGACTGAGTGCTGTATCTCAATTATTTCAAATTCACTGTATCTTAAGTATTAGAAATTTGTAGTCGTATGTAGTCATCTTTATTCTTGCTACAGCATACCTGCGTTATACGTATACGGGTCCACTTGTGCACTTGTTACCATTTATCAAATACTCGAGTCCAATTGAGTATTTTCATTATTTCTGATCGGATTCCTTATTTTGGATATTTACATTTCAAAAATTTTCACTTATTCCATTATTTTCTTTCCATTCACGTCTTTTAACGTGTTTTTGAATTGAACATACTTTCGACTTACTATCTAATATTTGTAGCTTATTGTAGCTAGTTATTTTTGAGGTGGGCGCAAAACTGGACAAATTCTAAAAATGGGGCGTGGCTTTAAAAGATTGAGAACCAATGCCCTAAACTATAACACTTTTATTTTATGTTCTCAGGAACTCTTTTCATTGGCCTCTTACAACGCCGAGAACAACCCACGGGTAGCAGTGGATTTTTGCCGGAAGACGCGCAAATAATAAAGGAATATGTTGCATACAGACAGACATTCCCCGTTGTGGATAGAGATCAAACAATATTAATTGTCGCTGAAGACAATTTGCTTACTGAAGATAAGTTCAGGGCAATGGCAAAAATTGACGCAAAGTAAGTTCTTGTGTGGTTTATAGCAGTGTTGGGTTGAAGTCTTCCGAGTCAGGTTGAGTCACGGATAATAGTCGAGTCAATCAATCACTGAGTCGCGTTCGGCAGTTAGTTGACGAATCCTAGTCATTCTATTTAGATAATTCGAGTCACTTCAAGTCTTTAATAAATGGTGACTCGGGTTTAAGTCCAGTTAAGCAAATAAGTCGAGCCTCCTAACAATGGCTCATAGTGATTTGTTGGTACTCCCGAAGTATGTGAACCAAGATGGCGGACAGCGGAACGTAGTAGAACGTATATTTTAGTTTTATTACGAGTTTGGGGACTAGCCAAGTGACTCCCGTATTATTTGCACCTGAAATTATGGCCTAACCCTAACCTGATACACAATCTAAGTTCCGGTTTCCGCCATGTTAGTTCACACACTTTGGGAGTATCAATTTGTTGTCCATAAAAGACATGACGATGAGCATCCTGATTCGGTGTTGTGAAAACTAACAATCGTATTCGACTCCCGCCCAGAGCTGGGCATTTCGAATCGAAAAGTAACTTATTCAAATCGGTTCAGACGCAAATTTGGAATCGCCGCCTTCTTTTTCCTGTCAAAAGTCGAGGTGAACTTCGCAACTTGTTAATTGAAACCATAATTTGACAATGAGGTTTGAAATGGAAACAAAAAAATGTGATCTTAATCTAAATTCAGAATCAGAAGCCTCAACGGTACAAAAGGAAGAACGTTTTCTCAGATTTGCACAAAGTCAGCAGGACAATGTAAGGAACGTTCGTTGTTTGAGTTTTGGAGTTTCAACGAGACTGCTCTGGCTATGGTGACAACCGACGAAATAAAAGAAAAAATCAACGGCGATCTTGTGAGTCCAGTATTCCGAGATGAAGTCGATATAACTACGATGATAGGTGAGTGGAAAAATCATAATGTTATTGTTGACAATAAAATAAAAATTGTCATTCACATACTGTTCGCGAAAATTAGGAAAGTTTAATTTTAACAACGCATGTCATAAGATCTCTGTGCTTGTCATAAGATTTTTGTGCTTGCAACTACTAGGTAGCTTATATTATTAAATAAAGGTGCGGCGTGAGGTTTCACCCAGTTATTTGTATTTGGCCCTTCTGTATTAGAGAGAGAGATTTATCATTTCGTCAACCAATGGTACAACAAAATATATATATACAAAATAAGCGAGTTAATTCGGTATAGACTGGAGAGAGCGATACGACCATATGGTCATCAAAGTCAGCTCCCCCTGAATTCATCATTAAGGTTCACAGTTAATGTATATAAACCATGTATCATCTGATCTGTTTGACAAACAAAATGTTTAGTCTTAATATATACATTGATAATAAGACACAAATTCAAAGAGTTTGGGCGTTGATTCTTGAGAAAGAAAAGTATATATTGGCGAATTGTTGAATTTGGGCGTTGAAGCTTGGAAAATAAAAATACACGAGCGTGACATCGGGCTTTAAACTGGAAGAGTTGAAGTTAAATTCTGGTCCAGATACCTGTTTTTGTGTTAAAATTCTGTTAATTGACATACCGCCCGAGACTAAAGATTATTTGTTTGCTTGATTCTTTAAATGTTGATGCGTTTTCTATTGACTTGGTTACTGATAAATTGCTTTCCCATTTTGATTGATAAAAGCAGGCAAACTACACCGGAATGTCGAGTGCCATAGCAAAAATGAAGTTACCGGCATAAATCTCATCTTAATTTTCAACCAAGCGTTTTCGTCTCATCTTCCAAGTTGACCAATATGAGAACGAATATTCCAGAACATAAGAAATTGTGTATTTCGTTTCGCCAGTGCTATATTTTCAGCTTCCATTTCCAGTGAATTATTTCCAGCCTTAAAAAAATTTAATGCCTTCCCCATCTTATCACTTTGAACGCTAAAATTGTGAGACTCAGGTGCTGAAAAAACCATACATTAGATTTGGTAACCTCGTGATGCAGGAAAAATAGTTATTTTCTAGTAGAGACCCACGGATTTGAACAGAAGGTTTTTTCTTAAAGGTTTCACACCCCTGGTTTAGAAGATTCCCATCGACGCTTCGTTTCCAAAAATAAGTATAAAAGGGAATCGCCATTTTGTTAAGAGCGCAAGTTGATGTGCAACTATTGAGACCAACTGATACTTTCAAAACCTGACTGACTTTCTATCATATCAAATAGATCTATTGTATTATTTATTTGTTTATAGTTCAGTTCAAAAATTTATATACTTAAGTTCAATAAGACGGAACAGTCCATTATCAAAATTAAAATTTTAATATACCAGTAATATTACATAAAATGTCTTAAATATACTCCGTTTGACATTTGTTTTATTTATTCAAAAGTTCACTGATGATACTTGTGGCTTTTACAGGAGGAATTACAAGAGATGGCAAAGGAGATATCATAGGAGCAAAGGCCCACAGAATGTATTACGTCGTGTCGTAAGTAAAAGAAATCGCTTAGTTTATTGTTGTTTATGATATTTATTGCGAAAATAGCTGAATAGTGATTTTCATCAGTTTCTAAAGGTTAAATTTCTTCTAACCCAGAACATAGCATGAATTCCACTTCATATGTTTACGTTAACACAATAATTATTTAACCTAACTCAATGGTACAAGTGCTACATGTGTGGACAAGTAGGACAAGTGTGTTAATATGTGGAAAAGTGTGGGGCAATATTTTAAAGATACCGTAACATCAGCAGTAATATAAACCTGTACGAAATTCATACACACACCATTCACTTACATTTAACCATTTGCCCCAATATATATCTACCCTAACTCGGAACTTTGAGACAAGTGTAGCGAAGTGGGACAAGTGGTGTATGTGTTCTATAAAGAGTGAAGGGCTATAAAATGTGGGGACAGTTGGACACGACTTTTTGGAAGCAACGTAATATAACCACTAAGCCATATGAAATACATGTAAGTAAAATGTATGTCAATGAAAAAATTTTGCAATAAATTCCAACTTATTCTAGACGTAAAGACGACGACTGGGAAAAAGCTTTCATTGAAGTGGGAAACGCCGAATACGAAGGTTTTTCGGTCTACGTGGAATCGCGCGGAAGTCGATCACTAGAAGCAGGGACCGGTTACCGAAAAGATTTGCCTCTATTATTTGCTGGATTTGCTCTCATTTTTGTTTACATCATACTCATGACTGGAAAATTTTCGCTCTTAGAACACAGGTGAGTTATTTTATACGATGATTATTCACGCCTTCGAACAATGCCCTGTGCGAGCATTCATTGATATCTAATGATATATAAGGAGCTAATATTTTCAAAAGAACGAAATATGTAAGATTCGACTTTGGACAGACAGACTTATAAAATATAAATCGAAACAAAAATTATACATAGTTTCGTATTTCAGAACATACATCGCCATGATGGGAATCGTCACCGCTGGTTTGTCAATGGGAGCTGGCATTGGTTTATCCGCCTCCTTTGGATTCGAATGGTCTGTTATTCACCTTGTTGCCCCGTTTCTCATTATTGGAATAGGAGTGGATGACATGTTTATTTTAATTCAATCTTGGAATACTATTGACGATGATCCACATCTTAGAAAACTACCGTTAGCGAAGAAATCTGGGCATGCATTGAAGGTTAGCATTTTATTTAAATCTGCTCTGTACAAATAAATACAAATTCCAATTTCCCCCCCAAAATCAGACTACGTACATTTTTTTAAATATTTAACGAAAACGAAGACAATTTATTTAATACTAAATATGAAGGTAACACTTATAATAAATAATTAATTATTGAGCTTCAACTGGAGATTTTCTTGGAATACGATGACTTTTCTAAAATTTTCAGTTAGCATGCTGTTGAAATCACTACGGTAACAGCACTTTCTACCAAACTAGGTTGATTGTGAGCTCTCATCCATTCACTCTATCATCATGCCCAAAGTTTTTTTTAAATACAGTTATGTAGCATTCACAAGTCTAAGGACATTCGGTACGTTACTCACGCTCGCTCGCTCACCAAAAATATACGAGATGAATCTCCGATTTTTGCATTTATCAATCTCTTTTATTTTTAGTCTGCCGGAGTCTCTATAACTGTGACATCGGTGACGGATCTTGTTGCATTTGCGGTTGGGTCATCAAGCGAACTCGGTTCCTTTGCTTCCTTCAGTATTTATGTTGCTGTCTGCATTATATTGCTATTCTTTTTACAAGTAAGACATTTGTTTTTCTGTTCATGAAACGCTCATTCGCGACATTCGCTCAGAATAACTACCGCTACAAGCATTTTTAACATCTAACAATATCTTAAGAGCAATTTGTTTTGGAAGACCGGGATTTTTCCGCTTTAACTTTGACTGCCTAATTTATTACACTCTAGGTAAAATGGCGGCATGGGATTTTAAGATGAGACGTGTAATCTGAAATGGCAAAATACCGCTAAAACCACTATGCCATCACTCAATACGTCAGATTATTATTTCAATGATTATGATCGCGATTATCAACTCTTTGTACATTAATAAATATGATAAACATGAAATAGCCGTCTGGCGACTATTTCCATCCTTAGATACTAAAAATTTGAAATTGATTGGTCCATTAGTTACCGAAAGGAGGGATTTTTATTCCCACCGAAAAAGCTGCCACAACAACAACAATAAAGGCTAACAACAACAAGAAAATTTAGCAAAACACTACACATTTTCATATATATGTTTGAATTAACTTATTTCTGTATATTTTTGTACGAACTAAACAAACGTATTCACACTATTCAGTGCACATTATTCCTGGCATGCACCGTTCTTGATCAACGAAGGAGAGAAGAAAATTATGACGCATGCCTCGCCTGTTGCTACAAACATGATGAAAATTACAAGCAAAGTGAATGTTCCCAACGAGAAGTAAGTTAATGTCGTTATTTCACAGCCTGACAAAGTGAATCTACTTGGCAGTGCTTCTCAAACTTTCAAGTTCCGTCAGCCCCTTTCAAAGACTCTCAACACTCCGTGTCAGACCGCAATCGCCAATATTTTTCCTTTTATTTTTTTCTAGTCAGAAATTAAACGAATCTGAGCCCGGCCCTCGTAAGTGCCACTAACTAAGCCTTCGCTAGGTACCGTTCTCCATGACTACATTCAATTCAAAGTAAATTGACTGTAATTTATTTATTAATTGGTTGCCTATAATACATTTATTTATTTTCTTTTTTTGGTATTTAAGCATGCGTATAACATTACTGATGGAAATGCGCTAAAAACGGTGACCGTACCTTTGAACCAATACATTTGCACCCGTATATCCGCGGGTTCAATGTATATGAGGGTGCTAAAATCCATGGGTTAGGGTTAGTATGGGTTCAAATATCCGTAAATAAATTCCATAGGTACAATAGTATGCAGATGCAATTGTCGTAGGTTCAAATTACGGGTTCAAATGTACGTGGGTTCAAATGTAATGGAACTGCTAAAAACAAATGTATGTTTATTTATATAAGAGCAGAGGGAATATTGGAAGTTCTTCGAACGAGGACCATGTATCATGAAAAAGAATCTAATCATTTTCCTGGAATACTCTTAACCTCTCTTTTTTATATTTATATAAAAGTTGATAATTCTTCATGAAGTTTTGAAAATAAACTTGTTTATGGTTTTTGTTTTTTTATTATGTTATTTGAGAAATTTGATTTTTTTAATACTAAATATTTATTTCATCAAATTTCAGTTCTTCGCAACGTTCTTTGAAGACGTCATCGGAAAAGTTGTTCAGATGTTTCCGGTACAGATCGCAGTAATTCTGGCAACCCTGGGACTAACTGCACTCATGGGATGGGGTTTTACTCTCTTAAAAGTCAGCTTCGATCCCGATTGGTACCTTCCACAAGAAAGGTAAATGAAATTTCTATTTTCTTGTTTAATAACATTTTCGCAAAGCAAGGTCGCGGGGACCGCTCATAAATTGACGAGACTGATCTCTGAGCGTTGTCACGGGAGACTAATTTTCGATATTTACATATGGAAGAAGTAGCTAGATTTTTGACCGGGGGTGAAAAAAATTGCCCACCTAGGCTGTCTGGCCATGTAAATTTGACGTAAAAAGTTTTTTACATTCCATAAACAACATTTACAGCGTTACAAAGGATTAGTGGAAAACAATGAGCCTCGCGCCAAAACAAAATTTATTCGCAATCTCAACAAATTTCTTGAATTCAAATTTTGGTTTTATTTTAATTGGGCCAGATTGAATTCCCCAACGGATCGGATTTGTACCGCGGGCAGTAGTTTGTCATATCTGACCTAGAAGGTTATCCTTTTTATTCTTGTTTCAACTATAATCCGAGTTCTATTGGGCTCGATATTTTATCCAAAATTCGATTGTTTTCGTTTATTTCGACACCACTTCAGCACGTCGGTTGATTGTTTAATCAAACCCACTGCTCATTTAAGACCACACCATCCCGGTGCGCAACCTTCGTTTCCATATATATATATATATATATTCGAGCATTGTTTTTTGATATTTCATTGATGTTTATATAGTATGCTGCCAAATGCTGGTTAACTCCTTGATTTCACAGCCTTCTTTCAATTCAATTTCATTTCAGTTACCTGATTCCATTCGGCAAAGAATACGACAAGTACTTTGCTCCGGGGCAAGATGCCGCCATTTTTATCATCGACGCAGATTTTTATGAAGAAAGAGATAAACTTCATATTTTGTACGAAAAATTGAAGAAAAACACTAACATAGACCCGACAACTTTAACAAGGTATTATTCAGCGCATATTTTATTAAACCACAATTGTTAGCATATTTGACGGCAGTAACCTGGAATAGTAAGCTGTTAGGAGCTCCCGTCCCAGCGACTGGCCCACTTCTTCTTTCACTTAAAAATCAAACTTCCTGTCTACATGACGGCCCAATTGCGCTATACGTTAAGGGTATTATATCGCCACTAATTTTATTATCTATAATATTTCAAACCCCGCACGTTGCTTATGTCTTTCATCCGACTACTAGTCATTTATGCCACAATATTTTGACAGACCGAAATCTTAACGGTTCGGCGTTCTCTATCCAATTCACTGCACCCTTAATTAAAAGGTGGGATTGTGGGAATATGATTTGAAGCCGCTAGATTCAACCGTCAATCCCAATATGGTTAAGTCTAGGCTTACCATACGTCCCGCTTTAGGCGGGACAGTCCCGCTTTTCAGCGTTTGTCCCGCCGTCCCGATAAGTCAGCCAAAAGTCCTGCTTTTCCAGCATAATACACAAACATGTTCTCGTTACTGTTGTTTCTGTGTAGCGCAGCGCCAGCCTACTTACTGAAGGTGGATGCGTTTGTTCCCCGCTGATTCCCATTGATGGCAGACGCATCGCATGTAAAACCAATACTAATTAGTCTAAATTCGAATTATTTGTACCGGTATCGTTAACGTCAATTCCTTCCTATTTTCGAACTGAACCCGATATTTGGACAGAGAATATGCGCATGAAATTTCGATAACAATATGGTCAATAAAGACAGCCGAGACAGCTTTAAATGTAGGAATGTAGGCCTATGTAGTAAAATCGGAAAATGTGAAGTTATAAAATCACAGCTAAGGGGTCGTTGTCTTTCGAGGCGTCCCGATGTGAAGTCACAAAAATATGGTAACCCTGGTTAAGTCCAACTACTTGACCGGCATGCCAAAGCTCCAGGGCCGTAGCCAGGGTTGGTATTGGGGGTAGGAACCCACACTCCACCCCTTTTTTAAAATATACGCTTTTTAGACCCTCAAGGTTCATGATAATGCGCTTTTTTCATACGCGCTCGGCTGGAACCGCTAGCTGTTTCAATCAAACTTGGCAAATAGAAATTTCAGAACATCCCCTTTGAGAAGTTCTGTCCTGCAAGCCCCTGCAAAGCTCTCATGAAATTCAATCAGAAGGAGGCTTTTTATATACACCAGTGATTGGAATCCACATGTTCGCATAAACCCTCATGTAAGATCTTGATAATCAGCGAATCTGTTCTAGTTCCTAATTTGAGACGTTAGATAACCGAAACAAATGGGTAACGTGGACCGCAGATGACGGCTATGGAAAGCGTGTCATGTGATCTTATGTTGGTTTTTTTCTGTAATGAAAGACCTGTTATTAGTGAGTTCGATACAAAAGTCGAAACCTTTTTTTAAAATTTTAAATCACATCAATGTTATATACCCCTTAGGCCAGTTACGTTATTTTTTTTAAAAACTAAATCGAAATGTTTCATACAGCTGGTTTGAGAACTACGTGTACTGGATGTCAACAGAGAAGAATGTAACCGATATATACAAAGACGATGCTTATGTTAACTCCCAGCAGTTCTTCGGGTCTGTCATGGAATATTTAACTGGAAAAGGAAGAGTTTATGCAAGTGTAAGTTCATGTTCTAAATAACCTTTGTAACTTTGTGGAATATGCAGCACCTTGTGATGATAAAATATGACATATAAGATGTGATTTTCATATTTATCCAGCGGAACGAAAAGCAATCATATGTCAAACTACGGCCTCTCGTTCTCTCACCATGTCCGTTATGGGAATAGCTAACTAGTTATTCGTTTGGACCAGCGGCCAAAACCTAGACCATTTTGCCCACCTAGACCGGCGGGCTATGTAAGTGTGACGTAAAAAATACCTTTCATGAACAATATTTAGAGTGTCACGAAAGAAAAAGTGGAAAACAATAAGCCTCGTGCCAAAACTAAAGCTAATCGCAATCTCAACGAATTCCTTGCACTATTTTTCAGCTAAAACATCAAAATTTGGTTATAGTTTAGTTGTGGCAGCATCAGGCGGGCCATATTGAATTACGCAACCGTCCGGATTTGGCCCGCGGGCCGTAGTATGCCCATGTTAACCTTTGACCCTAACTCAGCTTTATCAACAATGAATTTCAATTTGCAGGAAGTTGCAGTGCGATTTGGGAAGATTGTAGGATCGCGGTTCCGCGTTCAACACATAGCAGTCGAGGAAAATGTTCAAAATGTGGATATCATGGATAGTTTGCATGAAGTTTGTGATTCAGTGGGATTCAGCGACTATTCATTTCCCTTTCATAGGTGATTAACATTTTCTATCAGTTGGGGCTACGCGAGACTAACTGGCGCTCCCGTAGTATGTGAACCAAAATAGCGGACATCGGAACGTAGTATGTGTACCAGGTTAGAGTTAGGCCATAATTTTATTCCAATTTTCCTTATTTTATTTCTATTAAGAGTTCGACGACTAATTCAGTGACTCCCGTTTTATTTGTACCTGAAATTATGGCTTAACTCTAACCTGGTACGCATACTACGTTCCGGTGTCCGCCATCTTGGTTCACATACTACAGAAGTACCGACTAAATACCTTTTTATCAGTATGTTCCCAAGCTTTTCTATTTAAGGGGGTCCGCGGGGTGTTTCCAAATTCAGGGGGTGGTAGATATTCTGTTAATGGAATAAAATTATTTGAAACTAATAAAAATGTGTTATATATTTTTTTGATTATCTGCGCCGGCATATAAGCAACTTTCTGGAGATTCAAAACAATTTATTCACGTCAAGAACCAAGTATGGTGTCACACCTCCATATTAGGAAATTTATCAAGTCTTCTTTTAGTCCCGTGAGATTCGATATTTCACCAATTACATCGATGTTTTTTGTTTTGTTTCTATTCCCGCCTAACTGGCTACGTCACGGTTGTCTTCGGTTTTGATTTACAAGTTCAGCGCTCGGTCACATTTCTGCTTAAGCCTGCTTATGGCTACATACAGGCACTGCGGTAAGTTGTTATTGGACTTTCGTGTCCTTATATGTGAGCTTCGCGTTCTCGTTTATTAACAATAGTATTTGATCGCGTATTCTCTGTTTCATTATAACATCTGTTGTTCATTTAACAAGGTAACAACTATCGTTTTCATTTACAGATCCTACTTCCAATTCAGTATCATGAAGATAATCAGATCAGAAGTTTACAGAAACCTTGGTATCACATTACTATGTGTATTTGTGATGGTACTGCCAATGATAGCGAGTCTACAAATGAGTTTCTGGGTTGTCATATGTGTTGTGTTCACCATTATTGATGTTGCCGGAAGCATGTACTTCACAGGTGGGTTAGTTATTGAATGCAAAGTTGACAAATGGATCGTTTTGCAGAATGGTTTTGTTGTTGATGGTGGGCGGGATATATTGACGTAATGATAAATCGCTTTTTAATCGCTTTTCTTGGTCGTTTTACATTGCTGCAACCAAATAACGGCGCTCCAGAAATATGTGTACCAATTTTCTTTGCCAATTTTACATCAAGTTGTATAAAGAGACGGAAACCTATGAACAGAGTGTATATTCACTTGGCTAACACAGACAGTCCCTGAACTCAATAGAAGAGTAATAGAACTTTATAGGGAGAATCGAAATAAAATTATGGCCTAATCCTAATCTGGTACACATACTACGGGAGTACCCAAATAACACCTCGACAAAGTTCCTCTAAGAACTGAATTTATACCCGAAATTTGGAAACAAAAATAAAAACTGGCAAATAACAGTCAAAACTATACGAAAAGCTACAATTATTAAAAACATGCTTGGAAATGCGTCTGATCGATTATTAAGTTACATATTTTACGGTCACCGTTAATTCCTGCTGATTAGACGTTGTTGCGGAAACTAACAAGGAAGTCGATGCTCAGTGAAGTTTCAGTGTTTATACATGCTCACATTCACTATTTACAGGTCTCACAATTGAAACCAGTACAATTATCACACTCCTGCTCTCAGTTGGTCTTGCTGTCGATTACGCTGCTCACGTTGCCCATAAGTTTCTTACTCTTCGTGGGACGAAAAGAATGAGAGTTCGCGTCACTCTAGGTCAGATAGGACCAGCTGTATTCAATGGAGGATTCAGCACTTTCCTAGCTCTTGTGTTACTGAGCGGATCGAATACTTATTCCTACAAAGTATTTTTCACTGTAAGTTGAATTTTTTTGCGAAATTGAAAATTGGTGTTTTCTGGGATCGTTTCAGGTTCATGGAATTTCAAGTTCAGTTCAGAATTTCAACATTTCAAAATCCAAATCCACAACCCTTATATATAGCTTGCTACTAAACTTCTTGTCAAAACATTTACTATTTAGCAGTAGACTCGCTTAAAACGTTTACTATTTATACCATATTAGCAGTGGCAATTTTTTATCATTCAGGTATTTGTATGTGTCGTTGGATACGGCCTTTGGAACGGACTTATTTTCCTACCTTGCATTCTGGGTCTTGTCGGCCCTCCACCTCACATAACAGCAGTAGAAGCTAAATTGAGCGAACGGCATCTTCAAAGAAAAAATAAAGTTAAAAATGATGATAACATCGAAGATGTGCAAGAGAATATGGCAGTAACAAGGACGTGATATTTATATGCTTATATGATCGAGAAATTTGAATAGTAACAAAGTTAAATTTTTTGAATCGTATGCCTCAGGTTTGACTATGATGATATAGCACTGACATGGGCAAACTACGACCCGCGTGCCAAATCCGGCCCGTTGTGTAATTCAATCTGGCCCTCTTGATGCTGCCACAACCAAACTAAAATCAAATTTTGATGTTTTATATGAAAAATAGCTCAAGGGATTTGTTGAGATTGCGATTAAATTGAGTTTCGCCTCGAGTTTATTGCTTCCCACTTTGTCTTTCGTAACACGGTGAATATTGTTCATAAAATGTAACTTTTTACGTCACACTTACATGGCCCGCAAGTCTAAGTGGGCAAAAAAGGTGGGTCTTTTTCAAAAACCCCTGATATAGCAGGTACACATCACGTGTCCAAATTCGATGCCCGTCATCTCGTCCATATACCGTGTTTCCGAAAATAAGACAAGGTCTTATTTCAATCTTCTTCCCGGAAATAACACTCGGGCTTATTTTTTTGGGGGGGAGGGGGGGGGCTTTTTAGAGGTTTGTCTTATTACTGGCAAAACACGGTAAAAAATAAGTAGGCAATGCACAGGCACTTCAAAATTAAGAGCTTTTTACATAACCTCATATTCAGTGAAAGCTTTTACAGAGCCTGATTCGGAACGAAAGGATTGTATGAAATATTTTAATATTCAACTTTGTTTAATTGTGCGCGTTTCTCGCACGACATAATAAATATCTGAATTTTATAGAGATCCTGGGTGTGTGACTGAGTCAATATCCCCAAATTCCCTGCACAACAATGCACTTTGGTAGAATTTTCTGTAAATTATTTTTGTGCAATTTTGCTTTTTCTATTTATTGCATTCGCATTGTGATTTTGACCAAATATAAACTTTTATTGCAATAACTGTGTTTTATGTAAACTTTAAGGGTTTTGCGGTAGCTTTGAATGGTTTGGCTTTTAATGAGACTTTCAAGCTTGCCAATAGAGGTATCACAATAACGTCGTGCCCGTGACCGGGGGTGGGCAGATCCGTTGGGTAATTCAATCTGGCCCGCCCGCAGCTAACACAATCATACTAAAACTGAATTTTGAGGTTTTAGCTAAACAATGTTCAAGGAATTTGTTGAGATTGCGATTAAATTTAGTTTTGGTACGAGGCTTATTGTTTTCAACTTTTGCTTTTGTAACACTGCAAATATTGTTCCAAAAGTGTTACGTCACACTTACATGGCCCGCCAGTCTAGTTGGGAACAATTATTGGCCTCTGGTTCAAAAACCTTTCCTACCCCTGATCGTGACCATCACAGAAATGAAATACAATTACTGTCAGTCATGGAAAGTCCACATTATGCTGTATCATTGCATTCAGGAAGTATTAATCAGAAGAAACTATAGAGTTAGCTCAAATGTAACAATTGGGGATTCTAAATGCGCAATAAAAATTTATTTTGCAACATTAACGCCGGGAAATTTCTGTTCAGTTAGCCGGATGTGAAATTCATAGATGCAAAGTCACGTTTGAAAATGTGAAAGGAAAAAATCCCGCGGCAGTTAGATCATCCAGTTTTTATATTTTTTTTATATATATATTCATCCTGGGGGAGAGGGGAGCCGATAAGACGGTTCTCACTAACCACAGCCTCTCTTATCGTTGGTGAAAAATCGTTCTTATCCTTATATACAAAAAAAAATGTTTTTCAAAGTTTGTCTTTTTTTTCAAACCTTTCGACTGGAAATGAATCGGAAATATATCATCAATGTCAATGAAATAAATAAAAATTGCGAAAAAATTTTTTATGCAAAAATCTCATACATGCACATAGTTAGAATTGTCTCTCAAATAACTCTCTGTGAAAAAATCCCAGATACTCGAATAGGCAGAGTTGATACCGGAAATTTCCCACATGATCAACGTTACAGGGTTTTGTTACAACAATCTTTTCTTCATATGCCAGTTCAGGAAACAGGGTATTTTTTGCACCATCATTGCGACATCGTGATGCTCTGTTATATTATTACAGCTTTCGGAATTTTTACTCAATATCTTTATAGACTAAAGCAGCTGAAGCGAATATAATATACGGCCTATAAAGAGGCCAGTTTTGTCTGATGGAATCACAACTAAGAAAATCGACTTGATCGATGCCGAAAAGACGTATGTGTATGATTTCAGGTACAAATTATACGAGAGTCACTTGGCTAGTACCGAACTAGTAATATACCTGGAATAAGGGAAATTGGAATAACATCATGGCCTAACCCTAACCTGGTACACATACTACGTTCCGGTGTCCGTCATCTTGGTTCACATACTTCGGGAGTACCGTAAATTTCATGAACAGTCAGTCTCGGGTCAATTACGAGTTTAGGAAAAGAAAGTCACAGGTCAAGTCCAGTCACTGATTGTAAGCTCTAAGTCAAATTGAGTCATATTCATAAGGAGATTTCATTAAAAATAGGTCTTGAGTATGTTCCGAGTTTCAGAAAATTTTAAAATTCCAAATCCGAAGTCAAGTTTAGTAAATTTCATAAACAATCAGTCTCAAAAAAATGAATCGAGGACTCACAACTCGTTTGAATTTTATTTTAGGTTCAATTAAAAAAATCGACTTCTTCGTTTTTATAAGTAAGATATTTCGACTTAGGGAAATTTAGAAGTACGGCTCCGTTTTTGAGACACTTCAACTAAAAATGATGTTTGCAATTATTCAAAAAACAATAATAACATATTGTCATTGAATCCTATTTGCATAGAAAATTAAAAAATCTAAAATCGTGTGAAAGAATGCCATATCTAGCTAAATAATATGAATAATTTCAACATTTTCGAAAATCACAGAAGACACTTAATAAACTCATTGACTTAAACGCGAACGTAATACGGATGGAAAAGTTCGAAGCAATCGCTAATGTATGAAACGACGACAAAAATATTGAATGATTTAGATTCAGGCTTTGGGCGGTGTCAGTAAAATTTGAGTCGACAAGCCTGCATGGCATTCCTCATCGCTAGCAACTCTGCAACGCATCTACCATTTGATTTATAATACAAAGTAATTAATGATTTATTCTATTCTGTTATATTTTTAGTAATATTACTTACTGTTCTGTTTTGAAATTACTCAAAATGAAATTATTCTTGATTGCATGCTTGTGCTACATGTTCTTCGCGACAGGTTCGTAAAATTATCTTGTTTGGTCATGAATAATTCTGTAATTAAGTTTTCATGTTAAAATAAACCAAGTGTTCTGCAAACAAATCGTTCACTGCTTTTTATTCATTTTATTTTTTGTAATCCAGGGTACGCGGTTATGTGCTACCAGTGTCAGAACTGCGGAGATAACAAAAAGCTCAATGCTTCTCAACTCATTCAATGCTCTAACTCAACTTGTCAGACGAATACTACACGTGGTAAGTACACATCATACACATTCCGTTTGAAAGTCTCAACAGATTAACCGACAGTTTCCTAAAATCAAATTAAAATTATGGTAACAAAACACAAGCACGAATGTCTTTTTTCACAAAACAACGATAGGAAAACGATACATATGTCTAATTCAATATGTCCAATAATAAAACTCAGAACCTAGTTTAATTGTCAATCTAAACGGCATACATAACATAACGCATTTGGATTTCCCACCGGCTTCTGTCTAGATCAGGGGTCGGCAAACTACGGAACAATATAATCCGGCCCGCCACGCTTCACTGGAATATATTAACAAAACAACTGTATTGACAATTATATTCTATACGTAACAGAATTTGTTTTGAAACACTAAATTATATTATAACCTAACAAGTATATAATTCAAAATCACTCGTTAAATGAGCCTATAAATTGATTATAATTAGATAAAAGGCAACAGAACGTAAAAAAGTTGATGCTGAGTGCAAATGGTTTAATGGCGCAGAAAAAGTTCAAATGATCAGTCTTCGCGCACTGCTTAAAATTTAACTGAAATCTGATTGAAAAATGTGATTTATTGACCATTCCTTCGAATATGTGCGGCCCGACAATGACTTGCAACCTTTAATTTTGGGCCGCAAACGACAACAGTTTGCTGACTTCTGGTCTACATAGACCTTCAGAGCTTCTGTTTCTATGACTCTCTAAGTTGATTTAATGTCTGTTGCTTTTTAATTTCATTTGGATACTTTGATTGTTTAGTTTGAAACCTTAATTACAGGGTATGTTGTGCGAACATGTGGCGACCACAATTTAACGACTGGCTGCAATACAGTCACTAACGGATCTCTCAACTTTGAAGTTTGCGTTTGCGAAGGGGGTAAGTATTACTTTTGCATTCTTTTTTACGCATTTCTTCCCACACAAGGATCTGTAGAGGTAGCCACTGCTAGGCAGGAAACTAGTATATTTTGGAAGGACTGAAACGTCTTCGGTTCGACATTGTCTACCCCAGGGGTGGGCAACCTTTTTCGGCTCGCGTGCCCAAATCGGCTAAATTTAACGACAGAATTCTTCCGCGTGCCGACCAAAATTAAAAACAGTGCTTTGTTACTTTTAAAGCAAAAATACACAATAATAAACCTTCTAAACATGTAAGCTACAGACAGATTCACTATTCGGGAAAATATCAGCCCGACAAATAGATTTGATTACTTTTCTTATTCTATATAAGTGAGACTTCTGCTGCTGCATTACCGTTGATAGAGATTTACATTGGGATTATATTTTGTAACTTTCAAAGAAATATACGAACTACTGGTTATATTTCTTTCAAAATCAATTTTTTTCAGTAAGTTAACAAGTTACTCTAACCTACATGAGCTGTACAACTTCATAAATCAATCAGAAATGAAGAAAAATGGTGGCACAGACGAACTATATATTACGTAACAATGAACCTCCAATGAATGCTGTGTGTCGTCACCATTCGTCAAGAGCTAACTCAGTTGTTACGTCATAATCTATTTCTTTGTAGCCATATGTCTTGAAAAGACAAAAAGAGTTTAAAATTTTAAATGAATAACAGATTGTTAACAAACGATAAGAATGAACAAACACCGAGTTTCATCAGATAAATCAGAGCCTCGAAACTTTTTATCTGAAAGAGAATGATCTCATTTCTGAGGCCTCGCTCGCGTGCCGAATAAATGGGCACGCGTGCCAGGGGTTCCCCCTCCCCCTGGTCTACCCAGATTATTATAACCATTGGTGGATCTTTGATTTGAACCCCAGTTTAGGGGGTGCGATGAAAAACATACCTATTAGGGCGACCTTCTTCCCATAGACGAATTTTGTCGTTTTTAGAGAAGAATCTTGCCTTTTATTTGTCTGTAGTATTACTAATTTTGTTTAGTTATTTATTACTATTATGATACTTACTTACTGGGTCGTAGGCAGGAATTTTCAAGAGAGAGAGATGGGGGAGTCTAGAACAGTTCTCATCAACCGTGTGTATAGTACACCCCAGAAAGTACCTAAAAGTTTGAAGGGTGTACCACGACGATAGGGTGTACTAGGGGTGTACCGTGCCGAATGTTGTAAGGTACACACGATATGCTTCTAATCCAGGAAAAACTTTCGATGGTTGCTAGTTTTCAAGATATCTTTCGACTTGTAAAATTGTCTCATCTAAGAGTCATATTCAAAATCACAAATCATGTTTGAAAACACAAATCAGGTAAAATTATCGAGAGGAAAGGATGTGATATTTTTGAAGCTAGTAGCAATATTAAGTCTTTTAAAATGAAATTGAAGGTTTGGCAGAATAATGTATCAAAATGTCATTTTTCCGATTTTGAATGTCTGGAATATTTCATTGAGACTTAATAATGGGAAAATTGAAATGCAGACATAAAAACCAAGTGGATATCAATTGTACATATCGTGTTTCCTCGAAAATAAGATCTAGCCTGGATTTTTAAAATGAATTCAATATAGGACTTCCCCTTTTAGTCGATAGCGCAATTTTTTTTAACTATTAAATAGCGAGACACGTACGCGTTTCAAATGAATAATAATCTAAATCTAGCAGGTATTTAAAATAAAAAGTGAGTAAGTATATTTGGAAATATCGTAATTCGATACTTTTTTCGATTCGATTCGATACTAGGAATGGCTACAGCCCTACCCTTCCCTGCATAATGCATAGGGTTGAATCTGCGATCTTCCTATTCAAATAAGTAAAAAGATGAAATGTAAAGTCAGGAGTGAATAGTTTTTTTTTAAATTTATTAAGATGGATGTAACGGACTCGATACCAACTCTCCAACCGTTGCAATAACAACTTCGACCAATGAACCAACCACTTCGACCAATGAACCCACCACTTCGACCAATGAACCAACCACTTCGACCAATGAACCAACCACTTCGATTACTGAACTAATCACTTCGATCGCTGAACTAATCACATCAAACGCTGGATTCGTAGAATTTGGCACCAATGAATCTACCACTTTGACCTCTGAACCCACCACATCAGGCGCTGGAACCATCAAATCAAGCAAAATAGTTGGATCCGTTATCAGCCTTCTCGTTGCTAAATGTATTATAATTTAGACAGAAAATAACAAAACTGAGTCGATTGTAAGTATTGCATATGGTTCCGATTATAGATTTTATCGCGAAATTTTCACTTTTTTTTCAAAACAAAGCGTTAGATAAGCACTAATTCACATTTTCAATGAAACCAATTTTTTCAAGGCCCGAATATTTTTTTTGACTTGTAGTCCACCCTAGAAATGGGCAAACTGGGGCGCGCGGGCGGCTAAGCATTTCGCGCGAGTCCCGTGCTCCTGGAAACAATTTTGAAAATTTTTGACAACTACATACAAATTTTATTTGAAAAACCTAAACTGTGTATTGTTAAAAATGAATATCAATATTTTTTCGTCTTTGACTCAACCATTTCAGCCACCATTAAATTCGAAGCGAATGTAAACACAGTGGCTGTGGCGCCACATTCAACTTCTCCATGCGGCCCTTGCAAAAAAAAAACTTTTCCCACCCCTAGCCTACACAACTACCTAATTCATTACCTCCTGACGAGGTGCATGGGGCATTTTTTGCGTCACTCGCAGTTATCTTTTTTATCATTCGTTAACCTTCAAAAATTGTCTAATTGGTTTATTGGGTTTGACATGTTATAAGGAAATGCTTTAAAAAAATACTGAATATAATAAGAATTTTGTGACAAACGTCATTTAGTGGAGCTTTGGTAAAGAAACTGAAACGTTTGTCTGTTGTTGACTTATTTTATGATCATGATTGGTTACACATGAAAGATAGATAAATTGAATATAAATTACTTGTCTCAACCAAATTAGTGCAACGTTGAAACTTATGTTTCACCTATTTGTTTCAAAAGAAAAGTATTGCAAAGAGTCCGGATAGCTATTCTTTCTTTGTGGAACAAAGCTTTTGGTCCGGATATAGAACCGAGTATTTTTGGATATCCGGTTTCATTGTGTCAATTTTATGTTTCATTTTTCTTATTTCGTGTAAAAAATATATTGAACAAAATTCACTATTTATGACGTCATATTTTACGACTGAAGTATATTATTACATTGTAAAATAAATTGTTTTCAATATTCAAATCTATCTCTATGCTGAGCTTTCTAGAAGAATTTAAAAGAGAATAAGTGATAAAGGGACCCGGTGAACGAAGTGACAAGGAAGGATATAAAGGATATAAAATACAAGAGAGCTATGCTCAAATATATGGACACGTGGCGCCACCCAGTGGCAATAATTTTGATGACGTCATAGCGAGAGAAAAAAGTAATAAAGTAAAAAGGAAAAAAAATAAAGTAAAAGTAAAAAGCCTTCTGGAGAAAAATTTTATATTTAACCACTGAAAATATCGAAGCAATTGGTCCAGTATTCGAAGAGAAAAGCGATTTTTCAAAAATGGAGACGGAGACAAATAACAATAACAATAATAACAATAACAACAAAATTTTGAAACGATCATTATGGCCACTAAAACGTGTCCAATAAGTTCGACGTTTTGCTTGATGCGATTTTGTCCGAGTAATAAGTCAACCGATTCAAAAAATGTGGACAGAATTGAGTCACAATTAGAGTACGAGTCATGATAAATATTATACCCATCAGTTTTGAATCAATTCTTATATGCAGCAATTTCAAAATTCGATTTGAAGTCAAGTCGAGTCACTGAATTCCCAGATTCCAATTCGAGTTGATGATCGAATCATAGTTGATTTCATAAACAACTGTGAAATGGATAAATATGAGTGTGATGACAATAAGATTAAATATTTTTCCAAACCATACAACGTTATTTTGAAATTTGCAATAGGATTAAATCAAGTATTGACGACATTTGACTCGTCCTTCAACACGGCCTATTTCGAGTTATTTCTGCAACAGGCAAGTAAATTAAAGGTTTTTTATTTTTTAATACTAATTGAACTACATGGTTCAACTGAAACTGAATTTTATTAAAAGTAAGAGATGATTTTGAAAAACAGAAAGGTTACTATAGTGCGTCGTCACACGGTGATTTAATGAAACTATGGTTTAATGTATTTCATGCAGCTTAATCTGAAGTAAAGTACCAGATAAAGTATAAATTATCATAATATTATGTATTTCCGTTACAGTGATATTTTGTTACCGATTCGTTAATTACCTTATTCAATGCTAAGGCGTTATGACTGTATAAAAATATAGTTCACATGATTAATTTGTGAAATGTACAATTTTGCTGAGTTGTAACAACTTATGATCACGGAAGCATTTACACCGTTCGCATATCTAATTTTATCCAAGTCGATTTTATTCGCATTGAAGTCATCCTTCTTTCATAAGGTATTTGGCACCTACGAGCTGATTAAACTGTACAAGTAGTCGGACTCAAACTTTGTGATTACGTTTAATAGCAATAAGCCGAAGCGTTGTCACGCTGCAATGTGATTAATCTATGCTACAATATAATATGCGATATAAAGATCATTATATTATGTATTTCCGTTACGGTACATTTATGATCCCGCAGTAATGAATCGTCAATCACCCGATTCAATGCTAAAGTGTTCAGAATGTACAAAAATATAGTTAACACGCTAAAGTTGTGAAATGTACAATTTTGTCGAGTTGCAACCACTAATTTGAACGAATTTATATCGTTCGCATATCTCAGCGTTAATTTTATCCAAATCAAATTTATTTGCATTGACGTAATACTTCTTTCATAAAGTATTTTGCATTTACGATCTGACGAAACTCTACAAGTAGTCGCAGCAAAATTTTTGATTTTTTCAATAGTATATATAAACGGAAGAGTGAATCAGAATAAAAAACTATATACTGTAGAAGTCTGTTATATATTTTAGAGTTATTATAGGCGGTGCCTTGCTAGCAAGAAGAGAGACGCACCTACTTTTGGTGTTGATACTTTATTTGTCAAGTTAACTTTCGTTGTTTTAATTAAGAAATCACTCGGAATGAATTCGGAATTGGTTGCTTGTTTATGTTTGATGATTGCTTCTACAGGTATGTGGATAAAAATTGTTACTTTTGCTGTTTCTTGTAGCATCGAGCATAGTTTATTTGATCTTCAAATCTCAAAACCATCTGTTTCGTGTTGCACTACTCCCCGTGAAAGAAGGATGATATTTGGAACACGTGAAAATTATTTTTTTTAACCAGGTTACGCAATCAGGTGCTACGTTTGCTCCCATTGCAACGATAAGAAGTTGACAACATTTCTTATGGTGGTGGACTGCCGTGATGAATTCCTTACATGTGCCAAAGAAACTGAAAATGGTGTGCACTTTATTCATATCACGCAGATACCTTATTGATCTAAATATTTCATGTAACTTTACAAATATCTCAGCTATCTTGAGCAATACGAATAAGAAAAAAAAGGCAATGTTCAGGTATCTGGATACAATGACCACTTATGGACGTCTGCTCGGTGAGGTCATTAACGAGCACCGAGTTTGCTGCAAAGAAATAAAAATGATCCCCATTTTAACTGAAAAACGGCAAACAGCGAAAGCCTTTCAAAGATTTCAACCACTCCCGAGTACTGGATTTTTCACGGCAACAGCAATCACCCCAAAAACAACGAGAATTTTTTTGCAAAATGTTCATCTCGTGTCCAATGATGAATCAGTTACCGTATGTTACGGACCATAATGCGCACCGTCAGTAAATGCTCGGACTAGGGCTGTTCACGTGCATTAAGTACAACCGGTGCTGGTTTCGACAGTATGCAGTAAAGAATTAGAAACCAAGATAGGATAGGATTTACATATCTATCCTGGGGAGGAGGAAAGCCGATAAAACGGCTTGACCATATGGCGAACCATGGCATCTCGTCCGGTTACCATTCCATGTCGGGTATGGGATTAGTTAGTTATTTGTTTTGGAAAGCATGGACTTGATGGTGAAGGAAGCCGTAACCGACCAGCAGTTACTTGAACCACCCAAAGACGGCGAGCAGTCCAGCAATCCTCTCGCACATAGCTATCCCCGCATGGGATTCGAACCTGCGAACCCACGCAGCGTAATCAGAGGTGCGGTGGCGAGCATATTCCTAACGCTTAGCCACACCGCTGCGCCACTAATTGATCGATATATTGGGCGCACAGGCTTTTAAAGCGCGCGATCGTATTTAAAGAAGGCCTTAATGTCCTTAAAATACGATACGCGAATATCAAGTCAATCTTCAACTTCGTTTTTAGGTACTGTTAGTCTGTTTTGCTCCAAACACAATGAAACTGGATGCAAACAAAGGTTGGCTGGTGATGTGATGAGGGAAGTCTGTATATGCAAAGAAGGTTAGTTTGGATTTTAAATGCTTTGATCTTGGAAAGATTTAAACAAAAGCTTTAAGCTGCAGAACGTGAAAAGCTAGTTATTATAATTCAGAAATTAATAGTACTTTCCAAACTTATTTAGATAAATGCAACGGAATGGATACCGACTACAACTGCTACAGAAACCACTTCAAGCGCCGGATCCATCAAATCAAGCTTTATAGTTGGATCCGTTATCAGCCTCCTCGTTGGTATAGCTGTATTATAGTTTAGACAAGAAATAAGATAATGACATTTTATAACTTTTACTACTTCTCATATGCATTAAAAACACTAATGAGCTTTAAAACACACACCCGAGATAGTGTTCATTAGGTAATTTTTTGAGAATGATTCCGATCCTATCAAATGATAGTAGCTCATTAGATGACGCTCCAGCCGTGTATATACCAATATGGAAACAATTTGAGCTCGCCTACTTTACGTTGTGTAGGTAGAGGGACTGAAACCTATGGTCAGTGGGTATATTCACTTTGCTAATACAGACAGTCCCCAAACTCGTTATAAAACTAAAACACGGGAAATCAGAATCAAATTATGGCCTAACGCTAAACTGGTGCACATACTACGGAAGTATCCATTACATACCGCTAGATATCAGATGCTGCTTATAAAGGGCCTTGTATTAGTGGGTCACGATAATACACGTAGGATTTACTTAAAATACAAACTTCGCCGAAGCGATAGCAGTCGTGTTTTTCGTTTATTATGGCAATGATTATAAACTTACTCAAAATCAATATTGACTTCTTACACCAAAGTTATTGAAACTTTAAGTGACATCGAGTTTTTGTATTTTTCCGAATATTAATGATTTTTGTTTATGATATATTTTTGATTGCCGTTTCGATAGTAACACCGGGCATTGATTACCACCTTCCCTCCCTTAATTTTCAGTTGTGACACTTGACCTTATTTGAATCCAAAAAGGAACTTAAATGCCGATGAAGATGATAAGTCAACACATTTTTATAAGTTACAAATACTTCTATCATTAATAACAAGAATACATATCAGCAAATTTGCCCCCAACCCCTTCCTTAAAATAAAAATCCATGGAACATACTGAGTTACCGGGTAACCCGCTCGATTTGTAGCCTACCTATTTGGATATGGTGATTGTTAACCAATTTTCGTCGTAAGCTGAACCAAAATAATTGGATTATTTGTCTCGGTATCTTGCGCTTCTGACATTTAAGCCAAATCGGGGTTCTTACGTCGGTGCTCCTGAAGTATGTGTATCAGTTTAGGATTGGCCATATCTTTATTCCCACTTTCCTTATTTTAGTTCTATTACGAGTTCGGGGACTGTTTGTATTAGGGGAAGGTTGGGCACGTTGGGACATGGGACACAGTGGAAAATCAGATCTCACACTGATACTATATCCGCAATCCTGTCCACGGTTCGATGTTCGATCCGACCTTTGGTGAGTTACAACGTCCCCGCGAACGGGTAGAGCGGCGCAAGCTATGGGGTGAAATTGGTTTTGAGAGGTTGAAACTAAAATTTCACCATCCCAGTTTTTTTCTTTTTCTACTTTAGCCTTTTCAACATGACAAAACACCGTCAGATATTTATCAGCTATAGTGCATTATAAAATATTCATAACGTTGGCGAGTGGATGTGCCTTCCGAATTCCGCCGTGGGATAGTCTGAAAATATTTGTTTCCTATGGGGAACAATGGACCGGAGTTCAGTGGGACATGCCCTACAGGGCACAATTCGACAGTGTTTGATACAATAAGTGCTTAGAGACCTAGAGATTCGTTATATTTTGTGTAATATTATGGTTTCTTTCGACCCATGGCCCAATATGGAATATATTCGAGAATCAATAATATTGATTTATATTTATTCCAGATTTAGATTCGAGGAAAGAAATAATCAAATTTTGATTATAGTTGATTTTAAATTGATTTTAAAAATATTAAATCTTCAAATTTGAAGTCTCCCTGTTCTTTAGACGATTATGCTGATTAATTACGCATTTTTAAGGGCATACTTCGTTGGATTTCGACAGACTGACCCATTGTGCCCCAGGGTCTGTCCGAATAGGCCCCACAAGTGGGGTACAGTGGGACACTTGACAGACGTTTTCCAAAGCATTTTGGTAGTAAGATGTGTGTCGCAAGGGAATTTATTTGTCGTTGAAAAAAAACTACATTTACCCCTCTATGCATTAGTCCCGCAAACTTAAGTGAATATGCAGAATTAACAACTCAAAATATGCAAAAGAAAAAAGTGTCCCAACCTTTCCCACTTTCCCCTAAATTAGACAAATAAATATACCTTCTGCTCATAGGTTTCAGTTCTTTACACAACTTGACGTAAAGTAGGCGAACAAAATTAGTTACCTCCATAGTGGTACACGCACTTCTGGAGCGCCCTAATGTCGGCCTTTCCTCTTGTCGCCCAACTGTTTTTCAAAGCATTTAACTTGGAGTAAATTCGTAAATCGAAGTCAGTCAAGGAAAAAATAAATTTCCTAATTTATTGTGCTGTCGTCAATACTCTTCTGATCTAGGTATATATATGTATTGTCCTACAGTTCGCATTTGTGCAACATGTGGCCCTGGGCCGCGACCCGTCTCTCCCAAGCCATTTACTGTGGCCCTATTCGGTAATGTATTTTGTTGATGCGGAATTTTATAATTATAACTTGTTGTGTACATTGCAAAAACTTAATTTTCTGTGGAATCTAGTCAGATGTGTGAAGTTGGTTGTATGGCCAACCGACAAATAATATATAATATTGTACACCCGTGGACCAAAGTAATTCGCTGGTGATTTTGCTTTTTTTCTGTCTCATTACGTCTTTTCGTACATATAACCCTCTGTACAAACTGATATTGGTATGTAAGAAACTGCTATTTTATTTTAGTACGTTTTTTTTTTATGAAATATCATATGGTAACGTGTGAAAATAAAAAATAAAGCTTAATAAATAGGAAATAAACAAAGCCGATAATGACGGTCATAATGGGCCAAAGCTATAGAACATCGCTGTCGATGTTTATCGAAGTTGATATAGGGAACGTAATTTTTTGTCGTGTAGATCCGATTGTGTTATTGACTTTTGGAATTTAGATAAAATTGAGGGAAAAAAAAATTGGATGCATCTAAAAAAAGCAAATTTCAATAAAACATTCGAGTTTTCAGCACAATAATAGAATGAACGCACAGATAGAGAGATATTTGTTATTTGGAATTTTACAGTACTCTTAGGTTTAATGTAGGACAGGGTTCACGAAAAGAGGCCGGACTTCCGTGAGCTGGAGTTAATTTATCTGCCCTAACGAGGGTAGCGAGTGGAAAATCAGGCAAAGGTGAGGAAGAATAGTTGGCAGTCTTTGGGCCAACGTGTTTTCAAACTTCAAAGGGCGTGATGTATACATTAAAGAGAAAACAAAATTCAGTGTTATTTGAAGGCAGTAATTTTTTTTCGTGTAAGTGCGCTTTGAGTATTTTTTGTGGGCACCTCATGAACAATAAGTTCGTCTCTGGTGAAAGAGAAAGGATGAATGAGGTTTCAAATTATATTTTCTCAAGAAATATAAAGAAATTACTTTTATAATCTTGATGGTTGCTACATTGCTCTAGTCATTCATTTTGAAATAAAAAAAATTTGAAAAAAAAAATCAACTTATCGCTCTCAAAACACACAAAATAGACTTGAATCAATTTTCTTTACGGAGGGGGACACAAGGCTTAACAAGGTTGTCACGATCACAAGGAGTTGGATAAACTCCAATATCGAAGCCATATTGGATCAAAAACGAAAAGGAAGCTTCACAGGCTCCAACATCGCTGTTATACCCTCCACACAAATGCATAATTGATGGCTTTAATTTGTCCCGACATTTTGCATCCCACGTCAGTCTAAAACTTCCAATCAACTTCACAATCAATTTCTCGACCAGCGTAATTTAACTGTTAAAAATAATCATACAATTATTTAAAAATATTTTTCATATTGTGCACGAAATGTACTAATGTTTTGTCTTGATTATTGTTATTTGGGAAAATAGCTTTTCTCTGCAACCTATGGATATATTGATATAAGTTTCCAGTACCCAATAACGGAAGAGGTCGCCAGAAGGTTGTTACTTTTACTTACACTTATCAAATTCCCTCCTAGTGCTATGGGACGTAATATTTCACATAAAATTTCGTTGATTTATTTTGATTAGAAGGGAACCAGCGAAATTTTTTCGAGAGGGTAGAGGCTTATTTTTTTAAAGTGATATGACGTACCGTGTCTCCTCGAAAATAAAGACCGAGTCTCATCACAATTTCCATCCGAAAAAAAACCCTAGGGCTTACTTTCGGGGGATGCCTCAAATTTTCATCTATCAAAAACAAAATTACAAAGTACCGAAATACGAGATTTTTAAATATACAAAATATAAAGCCGATATCCATTTATTTATAAATAAAACGTTTTATTCAAAATAACTGCAAAACGTAGATTATCAATGATTTAAAACATGAAAGAGAGATTTCGTGCCGTCGACTAGCTACTGATATCTATAATCCACCATGACCGTCCGAGAAAGGTAACGCATTCTATTTGCCGCGCTCGTTCACCCATATTTTTAGTAAACTCCGTGCGTTTTTCGTTACTTACCTTCCAATCCTTCTTAGCGCATTGCTCCTTAACAACCCTGAATCTTGTCGAATGCTCGCATTGATTACCGATTAGGCACATCGGACAATACAACTTGGTACCTCTTGAGACCATTTTCCAGCATGACATGTAAACCCTCCATTTCCCTGAAAGATAAAAGTAATAATTAGGATATGATTACATATTTATCCATGAGGGAGAGGAAAACCGATAAAACGACCCAATCATATGGCAAACACGGCTTCTCTTCCGGTTACCAGTTCAAGTCGGGTATTAGGGCCAGTAATCCTTTCGCACATAATTATTCCACACAGGATTCGAATCTGCGATGGCAAGCGTATATTACGCTTAGCACGACATGCCACCCCAATAGATTAGGGCAGGGGTGTGCAACCTCTTTATAGGCGGGTCAAATTCAAAATCAGAATTTACTCTTTTCATTTTGCAGTTTAAAGAATTAAGACCGAAAATCTTTTTTTTTTGCGAGTTGGCGCTGATGTCGGCTGTTGTCTGCCGCCGCAATAGATACTAAATAATATTTAAGAGCTATTTTAAACGCTCTAAATTGCAAGAAATTAAAACATTTGCCTTTATGTTTGGTCACTATTGAAATTAAAGGATGAACACAATT